GCGACGTTTTCTTGCACTTAAGCAAATTTTGTGCTTAAGCAGCTCTGTGAAATTGGCCCCTGAACCTTTTTATAACTGGAAGGAAAAAGAAAAAAGTATTCAAGACTTTGAACTTCAGCATTTGTAACTGCAACACAATATTGTTTATAACTTTATACCGCTAACAGGGTCAGAAAATCTGAAGGGAACAATTTTCATGAGAATGCAACAATGCTAAAAACCAGCCACATGTCACCTGGGAAACAACATGAGGGTTTTTTTTGTTTTTTGTTTTTTTCACTTCTTTACATATACATGTATATGACTTCATTGCAAACCAATCGCACTGAGCCATTCTCGCTGCACTCCTGGGCTGCAATCAGAGAACCAGCAAGCACGATCGCTGCATGAGGTCTGACATTCAATTGGATATACCGAGGTCGACCGACCTCTTCCCCCGGGGACCCGCACAAATCACATCACGTTCATGTTCAATTTCGTCACTCCGAATTACAGGGACCCCGGTCTCCTTAAGTTGCAGACATTAGCTAGGGTCTCCTTAAGTTGCAGACATTTGCTAGCTAGATTTACGAGTGTTGTCTGAAAACAAAGCACACATAGTGTACATGTATTCACACATACACAGTTGTCAAAAATTTACCAACACTTCGACTTAAAAGTGTTAAATTACAATTTTTAACACTATGCCCATTCTTGACAAAAATTTTCTGTGGCAGTCAGGTCGGCCGCATCCACTTCATTTTTATATACATGAAAATAGAGAATTGGTTGCCAAGAATGAATGAAATTTTTCTTTCTCAAACAACAAAGGACAGACAGTTTTCACCAAACAAATACACAAAGCAAGTAACTCATGCAGTAAACTGAGACATCAAAGCGAGGGACAAATTTGCAACAACATTATAACACTAAAGCTCAATAGGCAAAGAAATAAAAAATCAGGCAAAAATAAAAAAAAAGTCCCTCTAAATGTAATTTTATCAGGCCATGAGAACAGGTTTACAATGTCAAGTGGCTTAGAGTACATGTACGTCCATATAAATATGTTGCAGGTCAATGCCAAGAGGGAGGATTTACATTTAACTGTTTGTCCCTGTCTATAGTGGGTGCAAGTTACACATGTGCACAATGTTGAACTGGACTTTGGGACGCAGAATGTCTAAAGTTGTTGACTATCATGGCCCAACCTGGAGAGACAAAGGCACAATTTGAACAAATGTATGGCAAAGCCCTCATACAAATATGCACCACAGGTGTTTTGTGCCCAACATGTTTCCCATACGTGCAACATGTACAGTCAGTGCATTTAATCAATCAAGTGAAGGGGCCACCAAAAAAATTACGTAATGGGGAAACTACTTTTACTGGGATAGGAGTGAAAATCCAATCAACAAGTCTGAACACTGGACAAAGTGTAGTGATTTTGCACTGTTTACAATGTGTTTAAGTTGTTTGTACATGTACACATGCTTTTCAGACTCACAAGGGTTGGTCCAATGCAGAAGTCTGGAATATCATGAAGAAGTTGGACATCTTCATTTAACAAAAGACCTGTTCCAGATAATCTCCCCATTTTTTTTCAGTTTTTCCCAAGACAGCATCAGAGTAAATTCTCCCTTTGCTGCATGCACATGCTCTTGATACCAGCACGTTTCCTGACAATCAAGTTCCAAGCGCGTCATTTTTTGGTCGTTGAGCCTCTCCAATCCTTTGTGCTTACAAGAAAAGAGCACACCTGGACAAAAGCTGGACAAAACTACGAGACTGAAGAGAAATAGCCCACAGCGGCGCGTCTGCGTGCAAACATCCGGTTTTAACAAAGTGGTTCTAGCTTGTCATATGAAATTCAGGAGGGAGTTTGACGAAGCCTGAGGCACATCAGTTGCTTCTACCTGCATGTTTAACATTGAAAGACACAATATCTGCCTCCAGGTTGAGGCTCAAAACAGAACCAACAAAAATCTTAAAAGGTGAGGCCAAACACAAAAGTTCTGCTTCCCATTACATGCATTAAAAAACAGGGCACGTAGTTTTGGAATTTTGTTTTGTTTGGACAAAAGGGGACACTTTTTAATGCTAATTCAATATGCAGTTACTTGTAAATGCACAAGTACCAGTAAGTGTTAAAAAATTCAGCAAAAAAGGTTGAGCAGAATTTTTTTCATATAAATAAACGCCACTTTGAAGGGTACTGGTTGTCGTGCAAGATAAAGGGATTTGTTAGGGACCCCATTCCTGTAATAGAAGGGAGACTTGCATTTTAACTTGTAGATTCCGCTAAGTTTATGACTGCAACATCATGCCTGGTTGATGTTTTAAAGACGGCAGGGTTTGAGTTCTGAGGGGAATGATGAAGGGAAACTGTGAGTGTTTTAACACATGACACATGGTGGAGTCAAATTCGCATGGCTAGTTATCAATAAGCAAGTCACATTTTCTCCCAGTTTACAGTTTGAAATTTCCAAAAAAATTAGGGTTAGCGGAATCAAGAGAGTGTTGCCTTTGGTTTGGGGGAGGACTGGCCAGTTTTACAAGATTTAAATGGCACAAAAATGGGGGGGGTTCCCAAATATAAGGGAAGCCTGCTGAACCTTTTTGAACCACATTCAAACACCAATACATGCATTTTTTTCCCTTTAAATCCAATTTCACATTTTCCCAAAATTCCCCCCTCCAAAAAAAAAAAGAAAAAACTGGGTCACACCATCAAAACAGGATAGACAGAAAAACCAGCAAGGCTAGCTACATGTATGGGAGAGGGCTAATGTAATGTGTAGCTTGAGGGTAGACTTTGAAAACATCAATTTTATTTTTTCAAACTAAGCTTTTGTCCAAGATAATAAATTCTGAGTTAACTCTTACACTTGTGTTTCAGACTTGTCCCCACATAATACTGTGTTTCTGGCCACAAATATTACCTGATGACACAGGAATAAATCGGTAAAACATCTCGACTGTGGGCATTTCTTTGCTGTTCTCTCTCTCACTCCACATTTTTCACAACTATAAGCTGCAGCACCATAGGTCCTTTTGAGAAATCTTTTGTGTAATTACCACAGTTTTTGTCAAATTTCCAGAATTCAGGAGCAGGTGGGTAAACTTTCTTGCACATTCCTCAAAGAAAAGTATAGGACCATTTTTTATTTTGTGTGTTTTATTTTAAGATGAGATATTTTACTGCTGGAAATGTGCATTTGATATTTTGAAACATTTTTTGAAATTTTTTAGTCCAATAAGGACACTGTCTAGATAAACAAACAAATGAAGGAACTAGACCCCACTCATTGCTTGGAAAAAAAATCAAGTTAAGAAAAGAGTGGTCTTTAACTTTTTTTGAGTAGAATATTTTAATTGGTTCTACTTTGAACAGAACTCATATACATTTGTACATGTAGACTTACATCTGTACATACTTTGTGTATATGTAATACAAACGTATTGTAAGTGATTTCATGATCACATCCAGCATCAAGTTCAGTGGACAACTATCAACGAGGAATCATTTGTTTAACATGCGGTGGATAACAGTGCCAGGTTTGCACTTTGCACAAATGCACGCATAGTGCACATGTACGTGTATGGGCTTTGTTGGTAATCCCACTTGGGTGGCTTCACTAAATGGCCAGCGAGTATTGTGGGATGGGGACAGGCAAGCTCCCTTCTACCTCCCCACAGTGCTTTGTGCAAAATCAGCCACGCAGCGTTGCCAGTGAGGTCCATTCATTCGAATGTAAGTATCTGCACTCGTTGGCTTCTTTACAAATGCCCAGTGCGGTGTACCCATAGGGTTATTGTGTTTTCGTCGGTCGTTGCAATTTATGTCCAAGCTAACACTTCAGATTCAAGAATCAATCACTTAGTTTCAAGACAGCAGAATACCGGAACAAGATGTTTCCCCCGAATTTCAGAGGCCCCCCGATTTCTGCCACAACTGTAGACTGTAGTTAGTAGACATCTCTCCAAGTTCTGTGCATGTAACAGAAAGTCTTACCCAAAAAGCAAAGTGACAGCGATACAAAATGGAATTACATGTACAGAGGTTTTTCATGTGACGTAACATGAAAGGCAAAGGCACTTCAGGAAGCATACCATGTCCATGGATACGCCTGCATTTTCAAATCTGTATATTTCTGCTGTATCTATTGGAAATTCATCTACATGTACGCCAGAATGTTGAGAGACATTAAAAACGTACACTTTTCCACGCACATCTGTGTAAATTGAGTGCTGACCGTCAAAACTTATGTGACTGAAAATCCACTACAGGCCTACACCAAATTCTATGCAATTTGGTCGTGATTGGGCTTTGTCGAAAAAGGTGTTTTCTAGTCTTAGTTACTCAGACATGTCAGAGTATATTTCTGCCACCTTTTTATTATTGGGCGTAATTGGTCAATCTACACAACTTCTGCTTTTGTGCACAAACGGTCGATCTTCACTGCATAAATTCCTAGTAATTCAGGCATCAGCTGATCGGGTGTTCTTTTATAGTTGTGGAAGATTGTTTTGAAAATGGGTGGTTGAAGATAGGATTGGCCAATCACACAGCGTGATTGTGCAGATCGGCCCATCACACCCAACAATAATTGATATCACAACAAAATCAAATATTAATTGAAAGAGTTCCACATATTTCCTTTAAAATGTTTCAACAGCCATCAAAAAAGTGAAATTTAGTTGAGAACTTTCCAAAGCATTTAAATCAGAAAACATGGTTTTTTTTTCAGATGAGTCTCATAGGTTTGTGCACGGGGCTTATCACTGACATTGTCAAGCGTTTTCCTTATATGGAACTCTTTCAAAAATGAATAATTAATGTAAATTTATACCCACCATATGTCAGAACTAGACACTCCTGGTGCAAAATTGAAGGTGAAACAATAATATACAGTAATTGGCAAATAATAATGAGATAATGAAAAGAGATTTACGAATTAGCCTAGGCCTACAATATGATCTTATAGTTTTAGCACAAGTTAACCATGTTATAGAATACACACCCGTGATCAACACAACTTTATCCTTCACGTTCACAAACTGCTGGGGAAGATTCTCATACAGCTTATACACGGCCGCCGCAAAGACAAAAACCCCGCAGAACCCGCCGAGGAAATACTGGCAGAACGGCTGGGCGACCGTGGGCAGGATCAGCACGAGGACATAAGGGAAAGTTAGCAACAACTCGTCCCGGAGATAACGCCGCAACACCAGGCCGTTAAAACACAGCGTGATCGCTGAGTACAGCACTAGTTTCGCGGACATGCTCGTCTCCTTCAACAGTGCTTTCGTTCAGCCAGATTGGCCGTCTTCTAACGGTGAGAAAAGGCCACAGACGAACCAGGAAATATAAGCGAGAATTCTTGTGGTTCGCTGCTGCGATGCTGCGCTAATGGTGTTTTCTGTGACCGCACATCGGTGACCTTCGGTATTTTAATATCAGCTGGCGCGCTACAGGATGGCGCGCCGTGCATTCACCACGTGCATACATGTGCACCAAATACACGTTGTCTGTGTAAAATGTCAACAACGCTAACAGCTCCCACGGACAGAGGTCGTCCTACATGTGGTCCTTATAATTATAAACAGACGTTCATGCAACAGTTGCGACATCTTTTCTTAATTGGTTATATTGATGAAAATAAGGACCTAAAGGACACAGGCATGGGAGAAGTGAATAATTATGGATAGTGGTGCCTTGCAGCGATGTCCAGTTAACTTAACCATCTAAGAATGACTCTAATAAATTGGGTCCTGCCGAGGGTGCCACGGTCATACCTTTGGGCATAATTATTGCTAATAATACGGGGTGATTATCATTAATAAGGGGGCGATGACGTAAAAATGGAGGCTTGGACATAAAATAAATGGTGTGATGATGGACGGATGGTCTATGCAGTTCTGAAACCGACATAATTTATTCAAGATTGTGATTAAGGTACGTGGTAATGATGCTGGTACACTTTACGAGAAAACAAAAAGTGATATTAATGTGATATTTGTTCAACTTCCAGTTGATAGGATTTGTCTCATGTTGAAACATTTTGACAACAAAGTGCACACTGGCAAGTGATGTTCGGATCGGGACGGTGTAAGTATTAGCAGTACCGGACACAGAAGCTCAGTTTTATTGGCGACGCACCGGGCGCGCGTCCCCCCCCCCGCCACCGCCTGTATGGCAATGACTTTTAAATTGGCCCCATTGCATTTACATTGTTACTAAGGGTTCCGCATTCACGCTTGAATTTGACCCTCCAAAATTCCTCCCCTTCTGAAAAATTAAACTATCTCCACTACCGAAATAATTGCACCAATTCTTTGTTGACTTAGTTATTAATTTCAGGCAGTATCGGCATAGGCGGACCTAATACAAATTACTGAATTATTTTACACTGGTCACAGACCACCGCTCCAAAATTTCAGTTCACCAAATGTTATAGTATGACTGTCAGTTACACTGTAATTCTGCGGCTTCGTAGGTGGCACAAAATGTAACACACTTGAGTACGGACATTCACTAGAAATATATAACTCAAGTTACAAAACTAGTATAGCGTGATATCCAAGGGAAAACAGTCGTCAACTGTCGTCAAAAAGCGTGTGTTAGCTAGAACAGTAAACGTTTATGGGTCTTTGGTATTTTCAAAAGGCATTAATGGTTGATGAAGTTGATGATCAACTTCATCTCTGTGTCCTTGCTCTATGAGTTGATGGTAAAAGTTTACTAGATTTAAAACGAATCCATTACACCCCTTCAACTTGAATTTCGGCCGACTGCAACGCGCGCTGCATAATTTTATGCTTGATGTCTGAATGTAGCGCCCTCGTACGATCAACGACGCTTAGCCACACGTGCAAAATGGCGGCGGTAAGTTGGCGGTTGTTGGGAAATCCTTTGAAGAACTCAAGTTTAGTTTTACTTATTGTGTTGATTTAAACCCAAGAAACGTTGCCAAGTAACCTGTTTTTGCTATAGGATTTACTTATACTCTGCACGTCTTTTTGATGCTGGTTATGGGATTAAACTCGTGGGATTTTTGTCGTTGTCATGGAAGCAATTTGTGCCGCGTGCGCATGTTGCACACAGTCATGACCTGACTGTGCTGTTTGCGCGGGATCAGGTCAACTCGGACCCAAACCAACTCGGACCCACAACAAACTCGGACTTACGCCAACTTGGACCCAACTTTGAGTCAACTCGGACCCACTGAGTCTTGTGGGTTATGGTTGCACTACATCAACGGGGTCCAGACAACTCGACCGTTTGCCAACTCGACTTTGGACAACTCGGCGGTCGAGTTGTCTTAACGGTCGAGTTATCTGCAGTCGAGTTGGCAAACGGTCGAGTTGTCTGACATCCACACCAAATACGCATCCGTAGACCGAAATAGCGCCGACTCTTGAACCTGGCGAAGAGGCCTTCATTTTTTTCGCTGGAAATTCAAGATTATGGCCAGATTGATCACTTTTTGTTTCAATTTTCTGAACTTTTTTTATTCGCCTTTTCCCGAAGATACCCCCCTAATAGTAGTAAAACCATGCGCTCAGCTCTGAATGTAGCTGCCCGCCTCTATCCAAAAAAAGCCTGCAATGTGGGGCTTTTTGTGAAAGAAATACTCTGAACAGGAAACTATCAATCCCAAATTTGGGATGATACCTCGAGATTATGGCTCCTCTTATTGTAAAAAAAAAGCGGGATAACAAAATATTAATAATGAGCTAGCGAGCAGACACACAATGCTTCAAAACCGTCTCCAAGTTTAAGACAATAGGAAATGTTCCACATTTTTATTTTAAAATGATTTGATTTGTGTTGGGTCCAAGTTGGTGGTACATGTAGGTCCGAGTTAGTATTGGGTCGAAGTTGTTCGTGGGTCTGAGTTGGCGTGGGTCCGAGTTGGTTTGAGTCTGAGTTGACTCGAAACCATTTGCGTTATGTGTGCAGGCATGGCAGGAGTGCTTGTGAATTTTGCTTGACGTCTGACTGTGTCGGACAACTTGACCGTTTGCTAACTCGACTCCGGACAACTTGACTGTTGAGACAACCCGACCGTTAGCCAAGTCATCTGTTCAGCATATTTAGGCAGTGGACAGTTCGACTTACAGACATGACACAACTCGACCGGTGACATGCATGATATGACATGCTGACATGGTGAGATGTCTACACAAATACAGTAGTTTTCCCACTTCTGGATTGCAAAAATTATTCAGTCTGAGTGCAACTAGGCGTAGGCCTAAAAATAATCCTCAAATTCCTGTGAAATGTGGTCAGAAGTCCACCTTGTGTGTCATTGTATGTTGGAGATACTAAACGTACTAGTAAAAAATATTTGTTTAAATACTAAGCTTTTAAGTTAAACGTACAGGTTCGACGAAAGTGAAGATGGCACTTACTGTAGTTCTGAATTAGTTTAGCTAGTGCCGGATTAGGCCCACAACTAAATTTTTTTCATGACTAGGCCAAAACAAATGTAAACTTACCAAAAAAAAAATCCATTTTTCAGCCAGAACCATTGTGTAAAGGCTGATTTTCTAATAAAGAATTTCTTAATGTAGAGAAAATTAGTTTCATAAATAAGAAATCCAATGAAATAAAAAGTGGATCTTGCATAAATTTTGACTCAACTGTTTCAGCTGTACAGCAGCTGTCAACGATACTGTCTCCCGTGCCACACAGTCAACGAACTCATTGTGTCACGTACATTTCTGCTATGTCCATGTAAAGTTGAGTTCGCAATGTAATGATATTGCGCTATCTGAAACTAGAAAAAATATGCGTTCAGTTTTCAGCCTGTTTGAATAAAATTGGAAACTTTAACTGTCATTTTGATTAAACAGACATTGGATGTGAATTTTACATTAATGTTGAGTATCAAAAAGTATATTGGATCACACGTAGTGAGTGACATATCGCCCTGTAAATATTTGTCCCTTTTTTTCGCTTCCATGATATTTGACGTTCATGTACCGGCATGCCAAAGTGTGGATCGGAAATCTGATCAAAATTTCTTTTCTATAAATTTTTTGAGAACAAGTTTTGTACAAGAAAAAGCTTGCTTTTCACTTTTTAAAAAGAACTTGTCTGAGAATGAAGATCCGAGGGTTTTCATTTCAACGAGGGAAACGACTGTAATTCATGTATTTAGATACGTGGCTAGGTCAGCGCAGGTGTAAGATTGATTGATCATGCCAAGATCGACTTACTGCGACCACAACTTTTATAATACATGTACCTCAGGAATTAGGCATGTCTATCTACATGTACTGTGTTAAATTCCCTCCTATTATAAAGGCATACATGTAGTATTTCACATGGTCGTCTCAGAAGACAGCTTGGCTGAGTGGACAACATGTCTGAACGGGCAACTTGTCTCAACGGTTGACTTTGTATGCAAGGACAGTCGAGTTGTCCGGACCCCATGAGAATTCTCAGGTCATTTAGTTCAGAAGGCAGAGCATTTATGAGAATAAAGACGGGCCGATAGCGTGGGCACTCTGTTTTTGCTGGCCGGAGAGAATTCCATGTACAAATGCCGCTTAACACCCCTTGCACAAACCCTAGACTGGTCTGAAAAAATTTGGTGTTTTCTAAGTAAACAACTTGGTATTTTCCTTCCTAAATTAAACTTCTTTGGACATGATTTTGCTTTCTGACTGCTAACAAGTCACTGTAGGGAATACAGGAAACTGTTGTAAGTCATCATTTTGTTGACTTACACGGACACATGTATTGCCTGTGTACATTATGATTCCTTGCACTAATTCAGTGGCTTTGATTTATCCTGGTTTATTTCTACCTCCATGGTCGATCCCAGCAAATTCATTCTCGATTATTATCTTGCAAATTCAATAATTGATCATGTGCCCCTAAGGATGAAGCAAGGACAGCAAGCCACTTGCATATCACATCACAACTCAACAGTGCAGTATGTACATGTACACATGTACGTGATACTAAATGACGGTACAAAAAACGTACATGGACACTCATCCACATGCGCATTGATTAAGTTCATTCAATAAAGTCTGGATACCAGACCCGATGATTCAGATTACCTGACAATTCATTATCAAGGGTCGTCCAGGATCTTTGAGCAGGGAACCAGACTATTTCTAATAAGGCGAACCCCAAAATGGATAGAGCGCATGCTTGGAGCACTAGAGGAGTTACTGGCTTTGATGTGCTTGTGCAGGACTTGTCACTTGACACTTCTTGGCAGGAAACTGGCGAAGGAAACTGGTACTGAAGCATGATTTGTTGTAATACTGACTTACGCCAAGGAATTTTTGTGGTTTTGTGGAAAGGGACCGAGAAAAACATGCCGAGTTATACGAAATGAGGACTTATAAATGCCGACTTATAAATGAAATTTTCAATGGAAATGCATTACAGACAATCGGGACTTTTGTCAAACGGCCAACTTGGAAGTTATGACGGGTTACGCGATGCCGACTTAGTCGGAGTTTACTATTATTATTGACATCCTTATACGGAAGTCTTCCCTCACTTGGCAACATTGACACTGTGTTCATTTTGGATGCTTCCATATTTATTTAAACAGATAAAATCAGAGAACATGTTTTCCCTAGAGGTACTCTTTAAGATTTACCTCAAAGTGAGTCGCAAAAATTTAATGACAGGCTGGCAGAGGAAAAAATATTGTGGTGCTTGGAGCAACCTATTGCTAACGGCTCCTGCTATTTCATTATTTAAATATTGAACATGTTAAATTATCCGTTACAAAGAGAACTCTTGTCATAATAGGTTTATACGTCAGCATGCTATGATCATGTCCACAAATGTCAGGAAGTACAGTCAGGGACATCAGTATCCACAAAGCATCAGCAATCTAAGAATGCACTCACTAAAAAAGAATGATCAAAGTTGGAAGACATTCATATCAAATAAGAAAAAGGACTTATTCACACCAAGATACCTGCAGGAACAGTTCACTTTCTTTAATTAATCACCTGCAAACAAGATGGCAGCCAGTCAGGCTACACAACGAGTGGAAGTGCTTTTGTTGTACTTGGTGTTCAGAATTTCAGATTCAGAAATCATTTGAAGTAGATGTAATATATTGAATATGATATCTAGGAGTTCGTTCAGTATTGTGAGCACATATTTTATGCAAGTGAATAGACAACCTATTAAGCCCCGCCCACTATACACGTGGGCACGTAGCATGGGCTCTTCTTTAGTGCCACGCTACAGGTTCCAGTTGCACGCTTCATATGCACGTGCATGCATGTCAGACTTTAGTGCACACATGTAGGGCAGAAACCGCGGCTGTGATTGGTCAGAAAACAATAGGGTCAGGCTTAATGGATCGGTCTATTAATAATTAATTACACATGCTGCTTTCTGAAGTCCACAGCACAGAAGGTGGCAGAAGTGCGAGAGGTGACGCGCATTGAGCGCATCGGCGCCCACTCCCACATCCGGGGGCTGGGGTTGGACGATGCCCTGGATGCACGCAAGGTGTCCCAGGGGATGGTGGGGCAGGTGGAGGCGAGACGGGCAGCAGGTGTCATCCTTGAGATGATTAAGGTAGGGACCATGCCAAGTCCAAGCCAACAGGCTGCAGCTCAGAATAATACCCTGTGTCAATAGGAAGTGACTTCAGCCGCTAGCCACTGGCTATGGCTGCAGCTGAGAGCCACTGGGTAGTGGTCACTAGCCACTGGCTATACTCTCTGGCTGCTGCAACTGGCTACTGCCACTAGCCCCGGCTGTGGTCGCTAACCACTGGCTGCAGTTGCTAATCACTGGCTAAGGTCGATAGCCATTGGCTGCAGTGTCTAGCCACTGGCTGCAGCCACAAGCCATTGACTGCAGCCGCTAACCACCGGCCTTCATAGGTATACTCTTTATTTCTAGCAGCAACATTCTCCCACAGGCTAAGATTTACATACCTTTGAAAAATTTGGAGTTGGATTGGGGATTGAAAGTGGCTAACAACCCTTTTGCTATCTCTTTTTGTCTGATATTTACCACTGACATGCTACCTTTCAAATACCAAATTTTTGTCTGTAGATTAACGTGCTTACTCCAATAAACCTTGTCAATGCATACCTTTGGTTTGAATTTTAAAAGTAGTACTTTTTTCCCATTCTCTTTGCTTTATTCAACAGGAGGGAAAGATCGCGGGAAGAGCTGTCCTGATTGCCGGGCAACCAGGAACAGGGAAAACTGCCATTGCTATGGGTAGGAGTGCAGTATCCAATCTCTGTAGCTTGGACTAACTGTTCGAGTTGGGTTGCAGTAACATCTTTTCACGAGACCAGTCCCAGATAACAAGATGGACATTGTCAGAGTTTGGTTGGATGGCTTCCAACCGGGCAACTTGTGATGGACCTGTGATTGACTTTAATACGGAAACCGGTGCTATACGCATTCATGACATTGCTTTAACCCTAATTACCCAAATCCATTCAAACATCAGCTGAGGGTCTTGCCAAGTTTGGGCTGATTCAGTACCAGAAATAAAGAACTTTGTTGGATTGAGGAGCCTAGGGTGATGGTGTTGGATTTTGTTTGAGTAGGGACACGGAGTGGTTGCTCCATGGAGTGACCGGCTAGTGGTACCATGTACTGGACTGTGCTTGATTTTGTCAGATTTGATACTAATACTTGGCAAGTCACTGGTGTACCACAGAGACCTATCCACACCAAATGATTCTAACTCCAACACCGTTGACGTGCTAGAGTTGACCAGATTCTGTCCAGTCATGTGCCTGAAATTACAGTGAGCCCCTTGCAGAGACAAGTTGTCTCTGTTAAACTTTGTTAAGTTCAATGCTGTATCTATTTACAAAAGCCTAGGGGGTTAGGATTAAATAATGGGAAAAGATTTTTTTTTCTTATCATTTTGTTGGTTCATCATTGATCCCTCTAGGTATGGCGCAGAGTCTCGGACAGGACACGCCCTTCACGGCGATTGCCGGCAGCGAGATCTTCTCCCTGGAAATGAGCAAAACCGAGGCCTTGACCCAGGCCTTCCGGCGGTCCATCGGCATCAGGATCAAGTGAGGATGTTTTTCTCTTCCCTGTCTGTTAAACACAAACTGTTGTTTGTTGAGTTTTCGGATAGATTTCAGATATTAGCAGCCCAGCCAGCACTTTGTTTGTTTTGTTTGTTAGTTTGAAGTCCCAGTTTTATTTGAATGAGCATAAATGAAGGCTTCGGTTGGATGTTATCTGTTAAAACTTTTCTGTATGCTTGTCTTGTTAGTTTTTGTCTTGATGCCGTTTTTCTCGTTTGAATTTTCTTCAGGGAAGAAACGGAAATAATTGAAGGCGAAGTTGTGGAGATACAGATTGACAGGCCAGCCACGGGACAGGTTTGCAAAGCATTCTTGTTCAAGCCACAACATAAAAACAAAATTGAGATTGATCTGCCATGTTAAATTTGCATATAAACTGTTTATTTAGGTCACTCTACTTGAGGCTGCTCTTTAACCCCTTCGTGACAGATGACGGTAAAAGCCTCCGTAAAAATTGAGATCCTCAGCCCGCTTTTCAGCTATTATTAACCCCGTTGTCAAGGGATTAAGAGTGGGCCATACCTCAGCAGCAGCAGAAGCTGAAACGTGACTTCCCGAGCTCGGGAAATCAAGTAAAGAATTTACCTGTTGAAGTATATTCAACACTGCTGATTGTCTTGTCTTGCTTTGGGAAAAATGTTCTACCGTTCCTTTTTGTTTTGTGCAAACAGGGAGCCAAGGTGGGCAAGTTGACTCTCAAGACGACCGAAATGGAGACAATCTATGACCTGGGCACCAAGATGATCGAAAGCTTGACCAAGGAAAAGGTGCAGGCCGGGTGAGTGATCTGACAGGACCCTTACCACGAAGGAGAGGGGGCTACCCCTGTCAGGAACGTCCCTTTGAGGCTGGCACACTACCTGTGCTCAGACGTTAGCATTGCAAACTTAGTGTAGACATTCCATTGCTCTTGTGTAGTTTAGAAACCTCAGTGACTGTACTCATATTTTTTACACCTTAGGCGCCGTTTAAGCGAGATTTTTGTGGATGGTTTCCTTGACCGTTCCTCTTCCTTTTTTGCTGTGAATAGCGGCAACTCCGAAATTCCTCTAAACCTGATTCTCAGAGAGGGGAAAACCTTGTGTGGACCTGGCGTAGTCCACAGGTTTTCACAGCTTGCAATATTTGCACTGGACCTGTGTTGTTCCCAGGTCTACTCTAAGACGGCATGATTGGCAATATATATGCATGATCAGAATGTGCACTTCCCAGTTCACTGTACCTGAACACAGTACCCCGTCAGATGTCACAGATTTCTGTATCTTAGACATTCTCTTTCCAAATCAGGGGAGATCGGCGATCAAACTCGGCGAGGAATAAGCCATTTGCGAGTTAAATTTGAGTAAAATCTAGTACACCGAGTTATCTGATTGTACACAAACGTAGCAATTTTAATTCCCCAGACTAAAGACACTGTTGCTATACCTCTTGATTCGGGTCAAGCTTTTGCATAGCGACCACCATCTCTGGAATGGACTGGTTCTTTTGTGCCGTTCTTATCCATTGAGAACAGTGTATTGTTGCAAGGCATCTCTTATGTAACTAAGCAAAAGCTTGCCCCGAATTGCGAGGTTTAGCAACCGCGTTTTTAGTATGGAGAATTCAAGTTATGTTCTTGTGAATTTAAAGAACTCAGCATACCAGATTTTATTCAAAGGTCACTCGCAAAAGGCTTATTTGGCGATCAGTTTTAGACTCTCTTCATTTGTCGTTTTGCTGCTATTTACTTGCAGCGATATCATCACGATTGACAAAGCCACAGGAAAGATCACCAAGCTGGGGCGGTCCTTCACGAGAGCCAGGGACTACGATGCCATGGGACCACAGGTATTCCTCAAAAGTCTTGATTGCAGTACAGTCACGCTTGTCCTGGTTTATGGCATCTCTTCCCATTACCTGCATATGACTGGTACCCTCCTTACAAATAAGTTAAATTGGTTAGTGATAACCAGTGGTGTGACCATGGCCCTGAGCTTGGTTCCAAATAGCCGACTGGAGGGTCCAAATCCTCTGTCATCCAAGCCGCATTGGTCGAATTTATATAGTCGACCATAATTGTTGTTCAACCTTGCCTTGTGTGCCTTGAGGCCGTGTTGAGACCGCTCGTCGCACACTTGATGCAGACTCATACTCGCCGTTCATATCTCTTGACCGCGTTGCATCCCGCAGACAAAGTTTGTCCAGTGCCCGGAGGGGGAGCTGCAGAAGAGGAAGGAGGTGGTGCACACGGTCACGCTGCACGAGATCGACGTCATCAACAGCCGCACCCAGGGCTTCCTGGCCTTGTTCTCCGGTGAGTTGCACAGCTCAGTCTGGAAAGCCTTGAACCCTCAACCTGTTCCGTGTCTGGATGGAGGAAAGGAACTTTGGCTCTTGCGAATGGGGGCCAATCACAGAGCAGTATTAAACTGCTATAGCACTAAACTCCTCATTTTCCATGCTCGGAGGAACAACCTGAGGGTAGATGTTTTGATTGACCTCATTTCCATTCGGTCATATTGACTTGAAACCGAGGTTAATGTTTCTTTATTTTGGGAACCTGAGATTAAAAATGAAAGCAATGAAGTAAAAGTTCATTACAGATCAATTTCATTGACAATAAAGAATAATTTAAGGTGTGTCATTAATCATAGCTGAATGTTTAAGCAACTTTTTAAAAAGGTGAAATTGAGGCATGGAACCCAAAATAGTCTGGCGCTATCCCATTTGACAGATTACACTGAATACAACAGATTCAGGGCACGTGATCCAAAATGGCTTCTTATGAATATGGTAATATGCTTTCGTTTGTCCGTCCTGCGTGACAGGTGATACCGGCGAGATTAAGGGTGAGGTGAGGGAACAGATTAACGCCAAAGTGGCGGAGTGGAGGGAGGAAGGCAAAGCCGACATCGTGCCAGGGGTGAGTAGATGGAGCAAGGGGTGCAACTGCACGCTGCAGCACTTGACAGTTGCAGTACGCCACTACTACGTCCCAGCATCAGGATTCAGAGACTCTGATACTTGGGGAGAGTTTTTGGAGCACTAAATCTTTGTATTGTAAGAAAAGCTAATATCTTGATCTGCACAACAAATGGTTCTGAGAACAAGTAAGCCGTTGAAAGTCTCACAGAGTAGCCAAAAAATAATGATAAACTAATGCCAGAATGGGTACACCCTGTGAACTAGTTTTGGGTGGATGCATTCAGTGCATGTGTACTAAACAGCGGCCAGCATTGTCACAACTGTGATCCATGATACAAGGAGAAACTAGACATTAAACAGGGCACCGATATCCTCGGCTTTTAGTCTGCTGTTAACCGAAGGTCAGAGGAGCTGTATTCTGCAAATTGTTCTCTTGCACAGATCAGGCTTATGGTCTGAAGGTGGACAATGGTTGTTTCACCCACTGTCATGGCGGCATTGTAACAAGTGGTATCGTTACACCCCCTGTGGCTGAAGTGCTGTTGCTGCTTGTTCAGAACACAAACACCTGCTTTGACAGCACTCAATATCCTTTTCACCAGGTGCTCTTCATTGACGAGGTACACATGCTGGACATCGAGTGCTTCTCGTTCCTGAACCGCGCCCTGGAGAACGACATGGCGCCTGTCCTCATCATGGCCACAAACAGGGGCATCACAAGGTGCGTCGCACCCCGACCATAGTCCTTAACTGCGCGCCACTTCATGCGCATCAAGAGCCAGGTGGCATAAGATCAAGTACCGAGGTTTTGATGTAAACTTGTTGGTACCACACTTGCATGTAGGTCGTATGCTTGTGTTAAATGCCTTCTTGACCAACAGGGTATTGTGGCTCGCCAAGATGCGCTCGTACCTCGAGTATAAAAATGCCTGCTTGAGTGGTGCCACTGGAGTAGTGCTGCCATCTCAGATTTGTCTGTCACTGAGCAGACCAGAAATGCGGCTTGACCATTCACTTTATGTGTGTGGAAATTCCAAATGTAGAAAATGAAACTAGCATGTATGTCGTGTCAAAATCCTTAATCCAGAAATGTAAAAACAGGAGTGGCCACAATGTTACTTAACAGTTGCTTAGTAAACAACAGAGAGCCTTTTGACATGGTAGGGCAAACAGCTTTTGGCATGAGGTCTCACGTACCCCAGGGAGTTTAAGGTGAAAATAATCGTTGATTTCCTTCCTGCTGTCAGGATTCGCGGCACCAACTACAACAGCCCCCACGGCATCCCCATCGACCTGCTGGACCGCCTGCTCATCATCACCACCTCGCCCTACTCGGAGAAGGAGCTCAGACAAATCCTCACCATCAGGTGGGCTTTTTGGGGTTTCATCACAGGAACGGGGCTGGATCACGTTGTGGCTGTCCCGGCCATGTGCTGGGTTTTTCAAGAGTCAAACTGTACACTCAGTCCTTAGGCTGCATTTGCGGGTCTTACTTTTGATACTTGCGGGTGCAGGCAAATATTGCGTGCGCATTGCTCTCAGATCACATGACGTGAACGATTTACGGCTGCCTGTCTGTCACCTTGAAATACCCATGTGATGACGTGATTGAACTTTCAACAGTGGGTCATATTCCTGCTGTTTTTGAATTCAGTGATGTGAGCAACATACTCTGACACGGCCGTGAAAACTTCCGTCCAGAGGACACACAATGGCTTCAAGTCAGTGTGCATAGCAGCCATCTTGTGTCCTGAAAAGGAACCAATGCAAGTAGTGGTGACTGCTCTGCACCTTTACTGAAGAGAAACTTTGATGTCCATTGATTTTTGTTGTTTGTGACTCAGATGCGAGGAGGAGGATGTGGAGATGTCAGAGGATGCCATCACCGTGCTGACCTGCATCGGCATGGAGACGTCGCTCAGATACAGCATCCAGCTCATTACGGCCGCCAACCTCGTCTGCAGAAAGAGAAAGGTCAGTCGGAGGGTTCACTGCCTCCTCAGGGGCCTTGTCAGAAACCTGCGGCTGGGCCCCAGTGGAAGTCACTGGCATATGGTTTCAGCTGCTTCCCAAAGATGCGTGTGTTAGTTATAGCTACAGCCAGTTGATTCAAACATGGCCATCATCAGGCCTAAAAACGTTCTGAAAGTTTCAAATTTCAGGAGCTACGTGTACAAAAAATACCACGAAAATGCTTAATTTGTGCTGTTGTCAGGTTATTAAATCTTGTAATGGTAGAATGCCATCGTCCAGTGGTTACATCACCTGACTTGTGCGTGAATCAGTACATTTGTGTTCTTAGGCAAGGCAGTTTACCATAGTAACCTCGCTCCCTGTAAGAGCATTTCACCTGTGCATTGCTGAGTGGAACAAGTGTCATTCATTTCTTTTGTTCCATACCACAGGGAACCGAGGTGGGCATGGACGACATCAAGCGAGTGTACTCCCTCTTCCTGGACGAGTCTCGGTCCACCCAGTTCCTCAAGGAGTACCAGCAGGAATTCATGTTCAATGAGGTCAACGGTAAGTTGGGTACTTCATCCCCCTCATGCAAAACGTTTGTGTTTTGTCAGTGTTTGATAGGTCAAGTTGCCCGCGGTAAGCTGTCGGCACAAGTTTATTGTAAAAATTACTCCCAGTGTTGAAAGCATTGGCTACTTTGATGTTGCAATGGCATTTGCCTTTACAATTTCTCCAAATTTCCTGTTTCAACAGAGGAAGAAATGGAAACCACATGAGGATGGTGCCTGAGCAGAATTTTGAAGTCTTAAGCTGGTCAGATTCAGTTAGCCTTCTCACTTCTCGAACCCATGCTGTTGAACTATTCACTGGTACCTACTGCTGCTAAACGGGGCTGTGGGAAGGGAATGGGTGTCACAGGGCACTGTGAGTTGATCTTGCTGCCTCAATCAATGCGGGCACAGTGAGTGCACACGTGTCGTGACTCCTGAAAGTGTCATTTTGTGCTGTTAGTCAAATGAGTTCTAGTATGTAAGGGTCCGAAGAAATCTTGTCTTGGGTCCTGACTTAATTAGGCACCATTTCAAAATCCCTATCGGTTGACTATAGGACAGGGCCATCTGACCGATAAATAAATAATAACCGTGACTTGTGTTGAGTGAATAATGGAAGGGGTGTTGCTCCAATGAAACCACATAGGCTGGGGAGGAATGCAGTGTAAAGGCATTTATCAGGTAGAATTGGCCTCTTGAGAACACTTCACCTGATAGCCAACCAGTAATAAATGTATCGGTTGGATCGTTCTGTCTGACACCCACACTGTACCTGATAAGAATTTTGAAATAGTGTCCTTAGACCTTATCCAGCAGGCTGTATTGAGGGTTTGCGTGGCTGCCATCTAAAGGGCCAGTGCTTTTGTTTTACAGGGGATGCACAATGGAGGCTTCCCTGTGTAACAAAACAACTGCCCTGAAAGATGGCTACCACGCAAAGCCTCTATAGCGAGTGGGTACAAGTGATGTTCTGTATCCCAGAGGTTGCAGCAGTTTGGTTTGTGTGTTCTGTAAATTCAAATGCGCTCCAATGGACAAGGCAGACATTCTTGCAGTAGAGGATCTTTATGGCAGGTCATCTCTCTCAAGAAGAATGATCGTTTGCCTTGTCTTGTGCTCATGGTTTCAATAAGAGAGTAATACATTTAGGCAAAATCTGCCAGCCTGTTGCAGTACTTACATTATGTTCTTCGATTAAATCCTTCGAAAATAATATACAGTTGAATATATGAATTTTCATGGAAGTTGGTTTTCTCGCTGCATAGACGGAAGAGGACTTGTGGCATTCGTATTTCTGTCCAAGCACTCCAGTCAATAAAACATGAAGACACACAGTTGCCTTTTTATTTTGGTAAACGTCTGTAAATAATTTGTTATTGAGTGACTGCTTGATATTTTGTCTGCATGAAGTACTGTACAAGCATTCCACATTTTCCTGCCCAAGGATTGCATTCTGTCTACACTACCCTTTTGCCTTCAATAGTTACTCAAGTGGTTGAATTTGGGATGTTAGCACAGGTGGCTGGTGCGTAAAGCACTCACCTGTCTCCACTGTGGGTTTGCTACCTGGCCTGGGCCAGATATGAGTAGTCAGAGTTGTGGGTTGGTTGGTTCTCTCCTATGTCACAAGAGTTTTTCCTCAGGGTGGCCCCCAGTTGTCATCCCTCCGCAAAACTGGACATTTTCTCAGGCTGTGCTCCTTGGGTAGTTGTGGGTCATTTGGCAGGCTGCCCTAGGTGCCCTTGTATGCCTTCAGCTTTACCACATTGCAATTTTATTGTACAGTGCATGTGAACATAACTGTGTGGAATTTACACTTTATAAATGAGTAAAATTATTAAGTATTGTTAGCTCAACAAACTAGGTGTTTTCATTAAGGCCAAACAAGTTGCACCTGTCTCTGACACCTTGTTGTCAGCTCTGCTGTTTGACTCTGCAGCCTGGAAGGAACCAGTTACAAGATCTGTTCTAGGTGGATATTGGAATTGGGGTTTTTTATTACACTTTCAAGTACTCCAAACAAAATGGCCTTGTAGGAGACTGTGTTCATTTCTTCCGGAAGTCTCTTGGAATTTGAAGTTCCTTTAAAATGTTTGATTTGGGTGAGGCCCAATGACAAAAAAATAGCAGGGTTTTCCATGCCCAGGAAGGCTTCTATGTCTTTATGCGATGACGTTCGTGACTGCTTTCTAAATCAGGGTCTCGTCTCTGGCTGTGCCTTCAGACTGAGGTCCACAGTCGGTTTCTGACATCACAGCATCAAATGAACACTCTCCAAGAGCTGGGCATCATCACCGAATCCATGACACTGAAGCCAGAAATGGACACTAAGCCACAATTCAGAGATAACCCCCCCCCCGGTTAGTTTTGTTTTGCTGCCAAAATTGTGGTCTGTCTCCGCAAAATTAAAACGTCAGGTAGGTGTCGGGCTGGGGGAGCAGACTACAGTACACTTGTTTTGCGGGACAGTCCACTGGCAAATTTCATATGGCCCTCTCCCTCATTCAAAATGGTCTAACGACGCCCGTGGCTACTTCTGACTGTGGTGGCTGTGGCTGGCAATAGTATGTCCATCAATGGTAAGCCACTGGCCAGCAGCTGCAGGCACTGCCTGCAGATATGTGTGTTACTCCTAGCCACAGCTGGTTGACTGGGAGATGGCCAAACATGCCATATTCAAGCTAAAGGAGACTTGTGTAAGTTTAGTGCTAATGAGTCCACCATCTGCTGTTCGCTCCCCATGTACTCTTTAACACTGGTGCCTGCAACATGTTTTTTCATTTGCATGTCCCCAGACACCAGCATTTTAAGACATGACACGAATCTGAGGACTTCCTCCATTTTAAAGGGCCAAAACTCGGAGAGAATACAGCTACATGTATTGTGTTGCATCATGAAATTCTGTAATGTGGGTAATTATGGTAACGAATTATCAGACATGAAATGTAGATGCTTCTTAAGTTGGGATTTTTTTCTTAATTTTTTAAGTTTGTGAATTTATTTGTACTTCCTATTTAAGTGTACCAAGTGTAAAAAAAGACTCCATTTTTTTGTCAAGGGTTTCATGAAATTGGAGAATAAAGTTTTTTGATGCAATTTAATGTGCCATTTCTCATTTATGAAGCTGCGGTTTCATAGTGTATAACCGAAAATATTTCAAGATATGTACCAGTCACATCTGAAAATAACTGATTATGTCACGTTAATTAAAAATATCGGAAATTTGTTCATCCTTTTAATCAAAAACAGGATTAGCCGAAGTTGGATTATCGGCTACAAGTTTCTTTAATTAAATATTACATCGCCCCCGGCGCGGCTTCGTAAAGCCAATGTCATCTTTCAAAGTGTGCCGTGCGCTACGTGGTAACGCGTTATCGGGGAACGTGCACCTTCTACGGCATGGGATTTGAATTCCGCACATACCTTGGAACAGCCGACTCGGCCGTCATGACATGCCTTTCCTTTAAGATGGTTTATGGTCGGCTCATTTGGGCGCGGGGGCCAGACGGTGTCATTAGGGATTTGCTGCCCGCTGGTTCCCTCTGCTGGGGGGGGGAACTAGGACAGTGAAAGGTCAGGTTGTAAGACGTTTCCGTGGGCAGTCTGTGTCTGACTTACTGATTTTGTTAATTGTTGGCTAATTATCCTCTTTTTCCTTGAAACAATACCCCCAGGTACTAGGTATATGATCGATTTCCAAATTGTCACCAATCGATCGTCACGGTATATCACTTTAAACAAATCACCGCGACTCCCTCTCTACCATCATGATCTGGACTGCCACTTTTACATCGCAGTAATTATTAGTCACCACCATTGCCATTGATTTTTTTTTCAGAAGTTACGACCAACAGTGTGACCAGTCATGGAGGAAGGGAAACAGATTTTCCTTCCTCCATGGACCAATGAACAATAATGGGACGCCCGTATGCTCTACGCCCCGCCCCCTATCGGCTTGCAGGACTGTTCAACCATGGAGCCTGGAAGGAAACTCGAAGGTTTGGAGGAAGCGAGGGGAGTACGTTGTACTTGTTGAAATTATGACGTAATTCATTGAAAGCCCGATCCAGAAAATTAGGCCCCAACTTCGCTCGTCCACTTTCAAGTCCCAGTGGCTTAAATGGATCCTTGGGTGTCCTTAGGTACCCCGTTTGAAATTTGAAAACACAATTACACGCCCCCTTCTTAAAGTGTATAGCGTGCACCCCATGCACCACCCTTGGCCTTCGACATATCGCCCTTTCCTGCCCTGTGCATTGAGCAAACTGAAGTCCATGCTCTGTGCCCCCCCTGTTGGATCCAAGTTGCGCCTCTGCCCGCCATTTTTTGTTACAGGGGTCATTGCCTTTCGCTATTACCCAGCTCTGACCATCAATCAACGCATAATCTCTATCGTCTTATCGGGTACGTCAGGTTGTCAGTGGACGTGATATATACAAGTACATGCACACAGGATGGGACGTGTTCCGTTTGCTTCTCCCAGTGGAAACTTTTATGACTGTCATGTGTTACGGTGGGCCTGCTGTGGCTTTGTACGCTGGTCTATAGTCTTTGCTTCATCCTTGTTCTCGCTCTCAATGGATTTTCAAGTACTTGTACTGTTGCACAGAAAAAGAACTGCATGCTACAATTGCATGCATTGTATGGCAAGTTCATGACTTATTTGAACTTTTGAAGCAGCATCTGCCCCAGTCTTGTAAATGGGGACATCCCCCAGCCCTTCGGGTGTTCGTGACCCCGTCCAACCATAGAGCAAGGAAACGGTCCAACCCCCTTCCTTTGAAATCTGACAATGAACGCAAACATCTAAGTCGCATTTCATTTTCCAGTGCCCCTTGGGAAAAAAAGTGTTGCAACCCCGAACCCCCAGTAATTTCACCCCATTGATCCGACCGGAAGGAATCAATTTCTTCCATTAGTGAACAATTTCCGTCTGGTATTCCCTTTTAAGGACGTTTATTGCAAACCCAACATGGTGACTGCCACAATTAATGTCGTTTTTTTCCAATCAAGAGTTTGCGGTTTGTGGATCACGCTGGCATTACCGAGATGGTGACAGGCAACATTCGCGTAGTTGCGTAGTTGTGCCGCCTGACGTGGCCTCACACTCCAGCCTGTTTACTACAATACATGTACAGTGTACATGTACATGTACCTAACTTTCAATGAGCTTAGATTGTTAGCCTGAACTTCCGTGAGCCCAGAATCAAGGTTATCACCTTTCCACGTTGTGTTTTATCTGAACCTAAAGGTTTGTCATTTTCACGATTATATAAAGTCGTCAAAACGATTCTTTCGATTTAAAAAAGTAGGCAAATCATTTGACTGTTTTATTTTGAATCAAACGGCTTAAACAAGAAATGTATACAGATTGTAGAAATATTAACTAATAACAAAATATTATCAATGCCGTGGTGTTCGCAATGGCAAATTTTGCGAAAAAAATCAGGATAACATCTGCAGAGTGCATGTACGTGCTATCACTGAAACACCATTTCTGATATACCGTAAAACCATAGAGCTATATATAAATTACTCTATAGTTCTACATGTATACAGCTCTATGTGTAAAACCGAAATCCGGCAAACAGCTCAAAATGTTCGCGTGCGAACCTAACTTCGTCCAATAGGCGCGTCTTAGAGCATGCATCATCATGATCATGTTTGCCGAAAATGGCAAGTCATTTGACAAACGCACAGTACTTGTGTACATAAACTGTACCTTGGCTTATCTTATACGAAACCCTTTTCTCCCCAAAAATGCCAAAGCAAATCGCTTTCGATGTTGTGGTTCGTTTCTTTGAGGATTATCTTGCGACATTCTATTGTGTTCAATGATAGAATTAAGAATACCACACCGCGTAATATGCAAACACCACCGCAAAAAGTAAACAATGTCATGCAGTCTGACTAGGCAACAGTCAACATGAATGTTTGCAAACACACTTGGAATGTTTTACTCATTGTACTGGATACGTTTAGTCCCTGGAGGCAAAAAAAAGAAGACACAATGATGGATTAAGTAAACTGTGTGTCTTTGCCTTCAAAATAAGGCGTTCTTTTAAATTGCTTCATTAAAAGTTCATTGAAAGAGGGCATCACGATTCTTTCTTAATTGTCATTAAAAAAGACATTATAAAGATTCTGCTATCGAAATGTCAGGTCCTCGACTTTTAAATTATATGTATTTAAGCCACTCCTGTCATTAAGATCTTTGCGACTGCTTTGATAATTTTGTTTGCTCTTTTTGTTTCTTTTTAATTTGAGCCAAGTTTATTCCTCCATAGTTTTATTAATCAAATTAACAGCTGTTTTGTGTTGCGTCTCGCATCTTGAGGTTGTTTTTCTTTGTGACTAGTCAGTTTCTTGCTGTTATTAATGCACGGCAGTAATTCGCGATATTGGTCCAAAGTTCACCACCATACTCCCCGCCGTTTATATTATTCCATAATATTATTGATATTAATGAATCAGGTCAAGTATCAAAAACTATTTTGTCAATCAGCGCATAGTCAGCTTAACTTGACACATACAACGGGGGTGCGACCGCTCCATGTAAGAGCAGAATAGTTGGCACTTGAGTCGACCAATCACAGGCTGGTCCTTGTGACATGTGACTTAAAAGAAATCACTGTCCTTGATTGAGGTGGTGTGGACAGGGAACATCGCCGACAAAGTTGGACAGGAATTATTCGCCATTTTTGATCATTCCAGGTAAGATTTTCAACGTAATATCAAACTCACATGAAAATTCAAAAGTAAATTATTCACAGGACAAATTGTACATGTTTTCATCGCTGCCGACTGTAACATTTCAGCGTTAAATGTTTGCCTCAGCTTGGCATGTGCAGCGTGTGACTACGTTAACGTGTAACGTTTTGACATTACACTTTTGTAAACTTAACTTTACTCTGTCCTGGAAAAAAAATGTTGGTTGGCAGTGTTCCATGGCGATAGTGTGGTTCATTCGAAACAAGCCATCTGCCTGTTCTGTAATGACCGAATTTCATGTAATTTTTAGCTCCAGTCCAAGTGAATGACAGTCGATCGCCTGGTAATTAGTGGCATGCTTGGCGAACACTCGCGATCGCCGCGGTCAGACGCTTCAATTATTGTTGGAGGGGTCCCTAGAAAGTAGAGTAGGATGGGCAGCGTGTAGCCAAAAATGGCCAAAATTATTTGAATGCCGGTAGTTAGTGAAGATCGTTATTTGAGTGACAATGTATAATACTACGATCAACTGTATGGACCCAAAGTTCACCCCCGTAATACCAGGATCAACTGTATCAAGCCACTTTATTCATGTGTAGATTTAACTTTAATTATCGTACCTTATAGGTCTCGAGTTTTGCTCGCAAAAGATAAAATGAAAAATGATTGGGAAAGAGTTGGAATGGATGCCACTTGACACCCCGTGCACAAACCCAAGGCTGGTCTGAAAAATTGTAATTGTTTTCTATGTAAAAAACGACTTGTTTTTTCCTCCAAAATTTAACTTTTCTGGACATCATTACATTGTGAAAATATTTGTTGATGTTTTAGGGGATAAATTTAAACAAAGAAAACAAAACTGTTGAGACAAAAGAAATACTAAAATTGAAATTTATGAATATTCTCTAGAGGTTGAGGCTATGATTTTGATGAACATACATACAGGAGCATGGCTTGTACACTGTGCACATGAACAGGTTGATGTCAAGTAACACAAATTACATGCTATTATTACCTCCTCCTGGCCAGGGTCCAATTAAACAGTGCTGCTAAGCAACTAATTTTACAGAGGCTCTGCTTAATTCATGAAGACTAGTAAGTGCAACGAAAGGCATGCTTACCATGGAGGAAACATTTAATTGACATAACAATGGAAGTCTCCATTCGTGCTCATGCAGTTGTTTTGCTAAGCCCAACTGAAATGTTCATTGTGTACAATGTAATATGCTTATCACTGTTAAGCACAGTTTTTTGCTATTGTGGCAAATAAATTTGCTTAACGGTAAGCAGCGCCTTGAAACTGGCCCCAGTGCTGATGAATTGTTAATCTGGCATAAAATGTTCTGCGTAAATTTACTCAAAGTCTATTGTATGTTGTGCCCTGTGGTAGGGAACGTTTTGGGGCTTGATTTCAAAACTGTCCTATTTGACAAGTAGTATAGCTGACATTCTTGCATTAGTCAGGTGAATTTCACTGACCAAATAAAGCTACTAATCTCTCAGTTGTGCTCGTAAATGGACCAAGTTTCAGAATTACAACTTATTTTATTACAAACGTGCTTCATTGTCTTTCTGTGTAGGGCTATAGTTTCCCCTTAATTTTGATAGATAAAGGTTGATTTTTTTTATTCTGGGGTAGTACTACCACATGGTATTATACCATATTCTTTGTAGCTTAGTATAGAGCATAGACAGAGTAATTAACAATCTTTAGAGTTTATTATCAAATGTGGGTCTGTACGAGGCAAGATTTGGTTTTGTTCTTCACACACCAGGCTTCCCCCTGCCTGTTAAAGTGTGAGGCGGCCCAAGTTTAGTGACCATGATGCCATATCTGGCTTTTCTGTTGCATTTTACCACCTCACAATAGCTAAAGATAGAAGGAAAAAGTAACTTAACCAAACATCTACATGTACTTATGTTGAAATTGATCAGTTGTAAATCATTCAGAATGGTAAAGAGGGGCACAGAATACCGTACGAGATCGAGGTATGTTACTTTTTAGAAAGGAAACTTGGAATAACTGTACTATTAGACTATACCTTTTTGAAAACACTTGTTTTAGGCACTAGTGTTTTAGAAAGATTTGTTTGACCCCCTCAAACACATATCAGTACCCCAGGGGAAACCCTGTCACCTGCGATATCACCGCGATCCACACGGTATGTATTTCTACCTTTGCACTTAGACTTGACTCGAGTCGGGATCTCTGTGACGTCTTCGTTTCTGTTTTGGATACATACCAAGACCGCGCGCCGTTACTTGCTTTGCGCCTTGGTGTCCACTTATTACATTAGTTAATTTCAGAAATCCCGACTAGACGAATCTGCCAACCGTTTGTACACAGCGAATGGGCTCATCTACCAAAAGTGGTAGCGGCCAATTACATCGCTGGACTTGTTTTTTACATCGTTCATACCGGCATTATAATGAACGAGTCTACAAGTCTGACTACTTTGACTGGTGGAAATTTTGTATACATTATGGAAGATCATGTCGTTCATATGCAGTTATGAATAACTACATATCACTGATGGGGGGTCCGATTGGCTTACAAGACAAGTCGGACTTAGGGACTGGTGACGTATGACACATGTTGTACAATAAAGGCTATCAAATGAGGGCGCCTTATAAGGATTATGCGAGCTACGCTGTGGGGCGGAGCGCGACGACCGTACCGGCTAAAGGGATGGCTGACTTGGGAAGAGCAACGTAAGTCCGACTTGATTCAAGTCTACTTTGTACTGGGATGTTGATCCATGTTGTTTCCTCGGCAATTTGCAGATAAGTTGAAACTTGGCCCATTGTGTTTCTTATCTTATACCAAAGCTGAACCAATGCAGTTCACGCACAAAACCTCTAATGACTTGTCATCAAGTCTAGGGACAAGCCAGTTTTTATTTCAATTGTGCAGAAGAGGCAGTTTGTCCTGGTTTATACATGTATCTGTGTGTGCCACACAAATGCCCGTAGATAACTTTTGTTCATCCTAGCAATCTTACCGGTAGATTGGTTTGCCCTTGCGTCCCTGTTTCTCCTTCCTTTCCCTATTTTCAAATTTTATTAATTTATTCATTATCTGCATGTATAATTTATTATGTAAATATTGCAATGGATATTCTGTTGTGTTGTTTTGTGTTGGCCGAAAAAATAATAATAATAACAATAATTATGTGTTAAAAACGTAAAAACTATTGGGTCCTTTCAAAAAAGAATGCTGTTTGACACAAGGCATACCGGTACAGTGGCGTGTCCTTAAACTTTGGTGATGCACTGGTAAATTAAATTTGCCACATGTCAATTCTTAAGTAGTTTCATATTTGTGACTTCAGTACTTGAATCCTGATAGACAGCTTCGAAAAATCAAATCAGTTCTTTGTTTTGGCTTATATTGTGTTACTTAAAGTGAAAATCTCAATCAGTTTGGGCCTTGCAGGGGAGCAGGATGGGGTAGCCCAAGAACCTGATGTCGGCATTGTCAGGAACCGGTTCCAAATTACAGAACCTGACACAAATTTGCAATTTTCTACAAAAGGCTTTGAACGAAAGGTTCATGTTCATGTCAAAAGCGATTGTACCTGCAGGTGAGCGTTACGGGTGAGACAGCGTTTGCTCGTTTGAATCACTTTCCACATTTGTTTCCCCTCTTTTTTCTGTGAACTTTAGGATAAGGTTTCTTTTACATGTATAGGTACCCAGACAGCCATGTTTATTGTAATAGGGCACCCCGGTCCCACGCTTCCCATAAATAAATGTACACATTGTTCCCATTTTTTGAAGCTCCACTGCAGTTGAACCACATATTTAATACGATGTACGTACTTGTATCTGGATAATTTTCACTCTGATTTTAACTTTGATAGTCTCGCATCTTCCATTTTTCCAGTATAATTTCTCACACACCCTCAGGGTCTGGGTTGCATTCTTCATTGGTAAAAAGTCACCTCAACTTGCTTTGGTTGAGACCTTCATCGCCCTGGTGCCTACCTACTTCTTCAAACCCACCTGCCCAGAAAATGGGAGAGTCCATTGCCTGGAGTTCAATATGGCACTTGTATACATGTGATGGGATGCCATTGTTAGTTATAGCATGGTTGTAGTGAGCGTATGCCGAGTTGGCTCCGCTTTTGGACTCACCATAAAAGGTCACGCATTATGTGCAGTTTATCATGCGTGGAGGCGAAGTGTCCACTCATGTTGTGGAGTGGGAGAAGGTCCAAGAAAGAAGAAGAAAAGGCAAACTAGGAAAGGAAAAGTGAAGCTTGTTAGTTTTACCTTCTTTGCTCTGTGGGTCTGCGAGACAGAGGCATTGTGAATGATTGAAAAGAAAAACAACTTGGTGAACAAAGCTTCCTCCATGGTGTATAAAGATGTACAAATCAATGTGTATATGTTGGTTGATCATTTCAGCGATACATACACGTATGTACATGTACTTGTCATGTGATGTACATGTAGGCCTGTACGTGTATAGTTTAAAACAGTTCCATAGAAATACGAGTTGGTTTGAGGTGGGGAAACCTTGAAAATGACATGAAATGTCCAGGAATGTTTTGTTTTTCTCTTCGGCTTGTCATCTGAGGGAGTGCTTACTACTGTCCATGTGTACACTATTTAGAATTTTCCAAATCTCAAAGAACCCAAAAACAAATTGAGTGAATTTGGAATGATTTCCATTTTCTGTTAAGAACTTTGGAAGTCTAGGGATTACATGTATGTGGTTATTCCAGAGCTCTCAGTCTCATTTGGAGTGTGGGAATTTTGGACCTCCTGTCTCCATCAGGCGGCATTACCGACAAAGTAAGCTGCTGAATTCTGCAGATCCAAAAAGTTTCTAAGGAAATTGTTAACAGTGGCCTCAAGGCGTAGGTTTTTGTCGGGGCCGTATAATTCCAATGCAGAGCTAACCTTGACTTCTTTTTTTTTTCAGTTGGTAAAGCTTAGTGTGGGAGCTAATTTTGTCACAGAGAATAGAACCATTCTGGCAGAAAATTTATTGCCGC